AAGCATAAACCGAACTGCAATCGGGAAATGAGAATAATACAATTTATATACACTTACGTTTGTTTTTTTCACAATTATTATTTCTGCTGCTGTCAAGTCTCGCACTATTTATTATCTTAGTTTTCGTATTTTCTGTTCTCAAACACGTTGGAACAATAATAATAATAATAATAATAATAATAATAAATTATTAAGTGTATTTTACGTAACCGAACACCAGTATTTTAATCTTCTTACGTTTAAACTGAAATAGAACATATTTAATGATAATTTTGCTTTAACGTACCTTCAGCACACAAAGTCAAAAACAGCATCTGGCATTGTTGCTGTAATTAACGAACCTATATATTTTATGCACCTATAAAAATATCCCTCCTATACATGTCGCTTCATTTATAGATACTAAGTAAGTATTATCATTACTCGTTTTTTTGACGCGTTTTTTCTTCTACAAATGTCGTGTTTATTATTTTTAAAATAAATAATAAATAATTTAATCACTTACGATATTTCAACATGTTCGTCTTAACTTGATAATCAAATCAAACATGAATTATCTTATATAGTAATATAGACATACGAAAGTCATATTATTAAGCTCTTATACTTTAAAACTATATTTGAATCTCGACCAGTTCAATAACGGTACAGTGTAAAATATCACAATATAAATATTTAAAGATTACAATTAATATTCAATTAAATATTCGTGTAAGTTAAATATTCGCTCATATATTTACGTTAGAAAATACAAAAAGTGAATTTTTTTGGTACAATTTTTATTTTGTAATTCGAGAAGAATAATTATACGGAATAATTTTTAATGTAGGCATTCATTATTTGTATTATTAAATTTTAGTCATTCTACATTTTTATATAATTATAAGGCCGTAGGCGCCTCTCCCTTGAATAGGTACGTTACTAACAAAAATGTTCAGCAAAATATTGTTCTTCAAAATAATAATTTGGAAATTTAGTGTAATATAATATATAAAAATCATTACAAAAAATAGAAAAATGTAACAAACACATAATATTGCAAAATTTAAGTATATACCTAATATTATCTACGTAATAATTATATTCAACGCTTATGAAAACAAGTGAGATAATAAGTGTTGTAACTACATTAATTAATAATTGGTTCGCCCATTGTATTATTATTATTATTGGTAATTAGTTATTCCATATATGTATATAATGTGAGCTGCGAGTATTTATTTAGGCTGTAGTGCTGTACCAGTAAAATGTATTTATTTTTTTTGTTCCACCGACTATAACTGGTGCAAATACAAATTAAATCTCGAAATTACTAATCATTTTGACTTTTGGTTTGGAGTTATGAATAATTTCGTTGAGTATTAAAAAAAATGTTTTGCAAATTTAAAAGTAACTATGGAAAAACAGTTCGAATCTGTTTGTAATTCCAATTTATATTCTAAAAAAACCTTGCTATCTACTTGTACAAATGAACTCTTGTGGCTTTTTACAAAAAGTTGAGGTAATTTTGAACATTTTGGGTCGCGCTAACGAGTGCCAAACACTCAAATAATATATAGGAGTCAAGTGTGTATTTTACTAAGCTTTAGGCAAATTAAATTATAACATTATTGATTGAAAAAGTTAATATTGTTGTGCACATACGAACGAGTTGTTTACAATTTGTTCGTCTGAGTTGCGTTCAGCGGGAAACACAATAATTTGAGCGTACGGGTGAGAGTCGTTTTAGAATTTTTTTTTTATAAAATATGGTTTATGCGAACGTTTGATTTGTATGCATGCAGACTACAATATTATACAAATCAAATGTTGACCGCGCCATGTGCAAAAATAATTTGTATTCACGCAACTGTTTCTCTTATACATTTTAAAATATGTTTTGCTGACAATTTTTTTTTTTTAAGTTTCGGCTTATTAATTTGTATGCTGTATATAATGTATATGTACCTATGTAATTATTTTAATATCTTAAAGTTTATAATGGATTTTAAAATTATATAATTTGTTTATAATACTACTTAAAATCAAACTTGTTCAAGCTGATGTTTATGATTGTATTCCGAAGGTAGCACTATGCGAAAACAATTTAAATTTAGGGTATGGTATATAACATGATTTATATAACTTGTAAAATATTTATGCTAACAAACTGTATAAAACAAAACAAAACATTTCTACTGGAGTATTATTCAAAGTATTTCCGGACAAGATGATGTTCTATGCTGAGCTTAATTATTTTTGATAATCTTTAGTGTTAGTGAATCAAAAGAATAACTGTGAATAGCTTAATGATATATTTTGTTTGTGGTGACATAACATTTTCCGTTGCGGGCATCATTTTAAATTTAAACCTCCCCATTAGAGTGATAAATCTACAACTTGAAACCATTTAGGATGCCAACTGCTCTATGATTTACGTTGTTCTATTATTTTATTATCATGTAGTACAATCTGTTTCCATGTAATATATTTGGTCCGCGGTGTGATATGTGGCACCTAAAATATTTACCCAATCCTCTACCACTATTCAGTTTAATACTTGCAATACTTGCCTAAACTCTAATAAATGTTGTTTTTGTTTTTTTTTTCAAGTGGGTTATATTCCTATAGAAACACTATAATAAGTTTTAAGCATAGGTACCTATATAAAATCAATGTACTTATATATCGATGATTTTTTTTTTATGCTAGAGTAATTTTCAAAATTTCGAGTGTCGCTTAGCTTTAATCTAAAATAATATTTTACCAAAGCTTTCGTCTTTTTCAAGAAATTTTCCATTACTAGAGAGATTTGGTAATGTTTTTGGCATTAAGATTTAAGTACCGTATTCGTGAAGGTATTTTTATTTTATAAATACTCCAGTTTTAATAGTTACTGAATTCTTAAATTAAAAATATCCCACTAAAATATTTATTAGAAATACAATTCTGTAATTCTATTGAATTTAAAATATAGCAGGTACCTGATAAAATGGTTAATTGAAGTTAAAATCCATTTGAAATGTGGATCGTTTGTTTAAGAAACTTTAAGCAATATAACTGACATTGTTTATAATTTTATAATTGTATTATTAAAGTAAAGTAAAGTTTCATGAATTTTTGTTGATTTTTATTATTGTTTTTCTTTTTATGATTTAACGAAAAATTAATTTTAAAGTTTCGTTAACAGTTTGTTAAAAATAAAAATAATTATAGTTATAATATTATATTCTTTTGTAATTAATAAAAGGATTTTGTTGGATATTTTATTTTTTACCATTTATCCTTGTTCAATTTTCCCCTCGATATAAATCATTTTTTCCATTTGAAAATAAATTAAATAAATCAAGTTTTCACATATTTAAAACTTTTTCTTGTTTTTCTACATATTTTTTGAATTTGTAATTAATTTTTTATCTTAAGTATATTCGTTTTAAAGTTTTTTATTGAAACAAGATAATAGATCGAGATTTATATAATTTGATTAAGTTACGATAATATTCATCATGTTATTTGACGAAGGGTGAAAAATGTCATCAGTGTTTTTATGAGTCACGTATAGTACTTGTATAATGTATCATTATGATCATAAAATGAATACGACACTACAAAACTTAACATTTTATTATACATTTAAATGATTTTTAGGGTACTTTTAATAATTTTATATTTTTTGTGCACATAATATATTCGTTAAAATATGTGTCTTGATTTGAAATGTATTAGTCAAATTCTCTGATTATAATTTTTTTGAATGAAATATAGAAAATATAATATCTATACATTTGTAATGAGTAATAAGCAATAATTATTGTCTGTTGTCAATTTTGACTTTAGAAGGAGCTTGCAAATACTTATAGTTAGGAGTGCGCAGCGAGTTCAGATGATTTGATAATAAATTACGGAGCAACCGTCTTTTGTTGTTTAGTGCGATTTTTATTTTATGTTAATGCGGGGACCAGGTAAGATGTTTGTCGAATGTTATTCATATATAATTAGTCTTTTGTGAATCGGGTATTTGTATATTATTAAACTGGACAATTTCCATTTCCTAATGAAAATCTTATGTGCATAGATTTGGTTTGGTTGGATTCATTAACTTAAAAGTACTATTTTGTTTACAAATCGGTAAAATTACTTAAATGTGCCTGTTGTTTTTCAATAGTGATTGTTGGGCCCTCATGAAAGAATAAAATTGCTTTATCGTCTTCGTAGTCTGTTACGAAGGTATTATCAAATGTTGGTCGATCAGAATCTTGGGAACAGTATCTTGTATTAGAACTACGTAGAAAAGCTCTGATTCAACACAAAATGTTAGAGTGCGTTCAATTAGATAAAATTAAATTGTAAAAAAACACTTAAAAGCCGAAAGTTTTATTTTTAAAATGAGATATTTATACCATGCGTTGTTGAAAGCTTTCGAAATGCCTAGAAAGGCTACTGTGTAATAGTCTTTATTATCGAGAGCTGTCGATATTTTTATTCTAGAGTATACGTGTATCTGGTGTAGGTGTGGTTGAAACCATAAATGTCCAGTGTCTACTATGATGACCAAATTGGGTTTGAGATACTTATTTTTGTATTGAGATTTGTGTTTTTTAAATGATATATTATTCATTTTTTAAAGATTTTTTAGATCAGATAATATTAGTGTAAAATTATTAATCATAGATGGATACATTGTATGTGACCCCCAGTGATTAAACACATTCCAATGCTTTAAATTAAAATAACCTCAATAAAAATAAATAAATTGAAAAATAATCTCACTCCAAGTAGTTAATTTCGAGATTGTCACATTCAATGGGTGGTTTTAAAGGAATGTCCAACATAAGAAAATAAATTACCTATAGTTTGAATCGTAGGTATTATGTAGTTCGAGTTCCATTGTAAAAACGAATAAAGTGTAAGTGTCAGTTATCTGAAATACACCTTTATAGTACTTATCCCAAGCTCCTAAATTATTGAATGCGGTCACGACGATAACGTAGAGTGTAAATTAATTGTGTTTTTATTTCCAGAGCTCTGACCGAAACGGATTTGGAGTTCATGGGCGTGAGGCTCATGCCTGGTTATAAAGACCCCTATTATAAACGGTAAATTAGTTTTATTATTTTGCTTTGAAGAACGTTTTATATTTAATTATGTTTTAATTGTTGTCATTTATAGGCCAATTACTAAAGGAGAGATTGGATGCTTCATGAGCCATTACAGAATTTGGGCAAAGGTAATATTGCTCTTTTAAACATTTAGTTAAATTAAATAAAGTCATTATTGAGTGTGTCTCGTATTAGAGTGGTGTGTCAGGGGGGAGGTTAGAGGTTATCCCCCCCCGATGTCCCACAAATCCCCTTATTTTTTTCTTTTGTACTAGCACCACAGTTAGTTTTAATGTATACCAGGGTTCTGGGTTAGGATTTTATATAGAATTTGCATATTTCTTATACAATTCTTAAATATAGCTGAGTAAGCTTAATATTTGTTTTATAATTCAGAGAATTAAAGAAATTAAACATATTACTTTGTATATTTTGATATTTTTTAGATTTTACTATTTTAGTGCTATTTCCGGATTTTTTGAGATTTTTTTTTTTAAATCAAAGTTGGTCACGTTTTATGAAATAGTTAATTTTAATGAACGTGTTTTTATTTATTGTTTAATTTTTAAAATAAATATAGATTAAGTTAAATAGACCGAAGTATACAAATGCACTGACTCGTCATTTCGTATCAGGCAGGTACCTATTTGGTTTTGATTTTAAATTTGTTTATATGCTAATTTTTATTTGCTCTTTTTTTTTTTATCATTAATGGCTGTGGTTATCATCAAACGAGTGTTAATTGCATTAGGCACATACTATATTAGTACTGTCAACTACTCGATTAGTGTCCTCGAACCTAGTATACTTTTGTGTTTTCGGTTGAACGTGTTTTGGTTTTTCATTGTCATGCCTTAACTTGTGTTTATAACTTCAATTTAAAATTCCAATTTTTGCATATTTTGATTATACATCCTTGGCGATATTTAAAATAATATTATAGCACATATTTTTGCAATCTTAAGTGCTATAAAATCCCAACCCTGATTATTATTTCTAACATCCACTTCCTCCCACATTGAAAATTCCTGGGCACGCCATTGCCCGCATATACTACTACAGGTATATAGCAATCATATTTTTAGTAATCAGTATAATAATATTATATTAGTGAATAGTTCACTGATGAGGTACAAAACCTTTAAAATCGTTCAATAATTTATTATTAATAAGATACTAACATTTTAATATAATATATAAAAATAAAACTCAACATATTGCATGGATACGAAAATGTGGTATAAACATTCTATAAATAACTATAAATAAGGTTGGATATAAACGATCATTGTTTCAGTGAGGTGGTATTGTTTCGTAAATATATTGTAATATTGATTTACCCTCGCTTTTCGGATTTTGAATATTATTATGATGCCGTCTTGAGAATTGTGCCAGGAAAAACTTATCCTTTAAGTTGCTTCTTATATTGTTGTATGCAAATTTATTATTATTATAGTGTCTTTTATGAAGTCTCGAATCAACTTGCGGTAAAATAAATATTAGTTACGGCACACGATGTCTGTCTCGTAGGTTGTGGCGATAACGATGATATTGTCGCCGAGGATACTAAACAGGGGATGGCGGTCGTAAGTTCGTTTTCGATTTTTTCAACTGTCGTAAATCCATTATCCCAATGATATTGCACCGTCGAAAACTAATGTCGAGGTCAAGATGAACGAGGAAGACGCCCGATCGCTGATGGATGGGTGTGCAGATTGGGGTGTTAAATAATGTAGTTAGGAAATGTCTTAAAACGAAATTCGCTGTGTGCTATTTACGTGTGTTTATTTTTTAGAATATTTTTCTGATCAATTTTGTGTATAAAATTGAGTTTTGAATTAGTTGTCGATAACTTATAGTGGTGTATAAAGTTTTGTCGAACGGAGTCATGACCAACATTTTTTGAAGTACTCTCTGTGTCATTTCACTATACGCTTATCAAAACTTGTATATGTGTATAACTAATTTACCGCTCGTTTGGAGTTCAATTGTTTTATATCAAGATCTCAGAAAAATATTATACTTATAGGAATATTAAATGAAAAATATACCTGTACCAACTATATCTTTAAAAAAAAAATAATACATAAAAACGACGATAATAAAATAATAGTAAACAATTGGTTTTGCAATGAATTCAAATTATGTTAAAAAAAACATTATTATAAACGTTTTTATTTTTCAAGATAATAGGTTTTACTGTTTATAATAATTTCAAATTATATCGTTATCGAATAATTTATAAAACTTACTATATTTTTATGTTTTGATGGGAAAAAATAATAAATAAACAATATAGTATGTGATTTTATAGCTTAAAAATAATGAAAAAGAGATTTATTATGTAAGAGTAGTGAGCACACACTGTTGAAAATCACTCACTGTGCATACTCCTCCATTAGGCATTTATGTTACTGAATATTATTGTTTATTTATTTCAATTTATAGTTTAGAGTTATAGTATGCAGTGCCATCCCTAGGGTCGGCCAAGCGGGATCCGTGATTTTATAGATACAATATAAAATTAAAAGCTTTATAGAAATATGGGTAAAATATTTATAAATATTTATTCATACCGCAGAACATAATATTATGTTTAAAATGTAAATCAAGTACAGTGTTGGTACTTACTTTTTTATACAATAATTGTTCATACAATAATAACATATGAAACGTAAAAACCACGAAGATATACATATTATATATGTAATTCGAGGTGAAAACCAATTAATATGGTATTCGGCAGATTTCTTGGAAAAGTTATCACTTATCATGCTCCCTCGTTGTCGGACCCTTTTCATGCGACATGCTTGAGTGGCTTGATGTTGACTCTAGTGGTGTATTTTTGTTAAATTGATTAAATTTGGGGAGGTCAAACTATTGATATTTAACCCCATTCATATTTTCATTATACATACACTTTTAGGCCAACATCACGGAGAGAGAAACCATAGTTTTCATTCGCTCAGAAACTTCTGAGAGATACAGAAGCTAACATTCAAACACAAGAGAAAAAATAATGTTTTTTATGATGTTGAGGTCATCAATGGTATCGGTTGGGTTGGCTTAAAGATTTTTGTACAATATTATACTGAACCCATAAGTTTAATATCAATGTTTAAACCTAACGTCCTAACTTAACTGCAGTAGCGTATTTAATCTAAATTATCTTCCTCTAATTGTGCTATTGTTAAATACCCTGATCACACTTTAGGCTCCATGTTGTCGATCTCCATGTTCATGTACTGCAGTCCCCACATAAACAATGGGTGGGCGGAGTTGGGTGTTAAAAAATCTTTCAAATTAAAAAATTGATTATTTTAACTATACATTATTTGACTAAAACTTTTGTTACTTAAGCATGTTATATATTACAATGTAATACATATTTATATTTACATGTACTTAAAAACTTCTTTTTTTTTAGTACTTATTTAGATAATTTAACTTATAATTATTTTAGCATAAGAAAGACTTGAATACACTAAAAATGTATTTCATACTAATTACATTTTTGACAACAATGAATTAAATAAAAAGTGTTTCAGTAGTTTAATTTAAAATTAAAAAGTTGAATCGGAGATGGTTTTATGGGGTGCATGGGGAATGTCCTTAGCCGGCCTTTGTTGTAAATTTGAGCCACTGATAGGTACGCACCTAGTCTCTTTGTCTTTGCTTTGGGTGTCACAAATCCTCAGAAAGGCCCTCGGTGTATGTCTAGCTATATGTTTATTAATAATCATATTTAAAAAAACAATAAAATGAATAATACAATTAGCTTAATGGACTTTTCCCTATACTTTAGTCTATAGGTACTTAAGATGTTGTCTCGGAATTGATCGCATTAATTTGTAAAGTCTTGTTTCATGTTTATGAAGAAAAGGGATTTTACTATATCGCACGCTCACCCCATTTCATTTTCTAATAATGCATTTATATTAATTCTGACTTTTGTAATTTTTTAGTACACTTAAAGACCACATATTTTCAAATATTATGTAATTAGATTTTAATATTATTAGTGTGATTAGACAAACTTTTTTTTCTAATGAAAAATATTGTGCTATAAATTGTTATTCAGATAATTTTTTTGAAAATATTATGTTGACGTATCTAAATTGATATTTTAGAGGTTAAGTAGGTATACTGAAGATATTAGGCCTTATGATGGTTTTATAAAAAATATAAAATATACGTATTATTTAGTCTAGTTAGTAAGTACCCACTCATTATTATACTCCGGACAATTTACAAATTAGAACATTTTGATAAATTTATAATTAATTACTATAATTTTCAATTCATCATCATAGTCCCTCCTTTTATTTTTTTTCTCAGTATTTAATCTAAAACTTAAATCAAATTTAATAAATAATAACTTATTAACTACTAATTAAAATTTATGTAAGTACATCAATATTTAAATCAACTCTTCGACAATTTGCTGTAAACAATTTTGATTCATATTTAAAAAAATAAGTTTGTATCACCACAGAATAGTATTTAAAAAGTATTTTTGTTAATATAGTCCTTAAACTTCAAAATTCTAAAAATCAAAATTTCAATAAATATTCGTTAATACAGAAAAACATAATGGCGCTTAACATTAGGGAATCACTCGTTATGTAGACATATTATAGTGCTGTAAAAATTGAAGGATATTTTGTCAATCATTATCATAGGACGGAACATCTAACGAAACAAACTAACTTGAATAATTAATAAATTAGACGTTAAGCTATAAATACACCAAATAACCCATTATAATACACTGTATGCAGTGAACATTAGTTTGTGTGTAACACTATTGTTTGATTCTCGAGGCGGCTAGGTACCTAATAACTGATGGGAAAGTGTTGTTTTGGGCAAAAATTATCCAACGATAAGTTAAAAAAAATTCAACTGATCTGCCTATGTCTGATGAAAAACTTAAAAATCGAACAATACCGAAAGCGTCGTATAAATCGAGAATTCGTCGTGTAGAAACTACAAATAAATCTCGGAGAAGTACACTTGATGTCAAACGGACAAGTGCGCATTCATGTGGAATAGGCAGGTTAGGTTGTTCCACCACTAGTGTAATACAACAACAGCCTCTCGACGGTGTTGTCCGGACGTCTATCGAAAC